TGTTACAATTTATAGTGATTCCTATTCAAAGCCATGCAGTAAATGAGGGTAACAGGGATGCAGCTAGGCAGCTGCACAGGATTGATTTTAAAAACACTCAGCAAGCAGAATGCACTGCTGCCCAAAGTCAGATTATACGTTAAATGCTCGTGGGTGACTTGAGCAATCCTTTAAATTGATCAATGCCTCACTGTAGTTAGCAAACACATAATTTATTACTTGCAAAAAAAAAAGTAATAGGATTTGATGGGTTGGAAATTTATATCCAAATGTTTTTAAGTGTACAAACTTTTTGCCATGATCTACTGACCTCTAGAAGGCTGTCGCCAACCAGCGCCACAAGTAGACGGTGAGTGTACCTCTCCCGCACCAGCGCAGCATTCTCAGAGGCGTACATGCAGGTGAAATCGAACATGGCTACATCTGGCTGCCCATAATGATTGATTGCAAAGTCCATGTTGGGCAACTGCTGATTGGTGGAGAAGCGTGCAGCCTCCGTGGCGTAGTTCAGCAGTGCCTCCTGGTCCACGTTGGCACGTGAAAGCAGCATCTCCGTGTCTGCATAATCCTGCACAGAGGGAGACAAGACAGAGGATGAGAGAGATACACCAGAGCACACAAAACAACACGATCTGCAAACAAGCATGTGCAAAATCATCTGCCAAATGTCCTAAGATGTGACAATAGCAATTTCTTCTCTTCAAAAACATGCTAAAAGTCTTTTTGCCACAGGTGGAGAATTTATAATGGTTTTGAGTCAATTTATTAACCTTTAGAAGGTTTTAAACCTGAGGACAAGTTTGATTTTCAGAATGAATGAAATGTTAAATGTTTTGAAGCTGCCGTTTCACAAAATCTCCCCCACGTAAGAAATATGTAAATATTCCATATGTGTTTTAAGCTGGCCATACACATTACCACCATCGCACGACTTTAGTCTTGCGATGATTGTAAGGTAATTAAAAGCTTGTACGATCTGCCCAGGACAGGCAGATCGTACTTGCGATCATCGCAAGCCCGCCCCGCTGAGGGGAGGGCTTCCGATGACTGCAATGCTGAGCATGCAGTGTGCGCTTGTGATTTTCGGCAGGTTTTCCAGCGTGCTCCGAAGACAAAAGATGTGAGACCGTACAGTAGAAACAGTCGCACGGCTTCCATACACCTGCCGATTATCGTGCGATCACCAGCGATCATACGATAATCGGCAGGTGTATGGGCACCTTAAAACTGATTGTACAAAGATTGTACGGCCAGACCCTGAAACAGAAGGGAAGGGCCAACCAATAAAGCTCTACCGCACATAAAGCTCTATTTGTCTTACAAACACGCTACAAACCCGACGAAAATCTTACGATTTTCGGCTGGTTGTCCAACATGCTAGTAAGACAAAAGATGTGCGACCGCACAGTAGAAACGGTCGCACGCCTTCCATACACCTGCCAATTATCGTACGATAATCGGCAGGTGTATGGCCACCTTTACAAATAAGCATTTAATGAATGAGAAGAGAGTCCCAGTGTGCTGTGGGTTAGCCAACAAGGATGGATGCAGGTCATACAGAAAGTGGGAGAAGTCGCTGCTCGGACTCAATTACGTGTATGTCTAATTTTCAACTTGAGCTACTGAGATCCGCACACAAGCTTTGAATGACAGTTGCAACAGTGAAGGAAAACCTGATACAGGAGCCCTGTATATTTCTTTTTAATGACTTGTTTTTATTAGTTTGTTTTTTCCTGACGTCTCAGTAAAGGGAGAGAAGAGATTTAGTAAAAGTCCCCAGTGCTCCTTCTGGAGACACTGCAAGCTCCAGTCTACCACTGCACATCTGGATTTTATATCAGTAGAGCAGGTCACCCATCTGCCATCCGGATGCCAGGGCCTGCTGGGAAGGAGGTGACGCCAGAAAAGGAAATCATATTTGATAGGAAGAATAACAATCCTACCGTGTGAAAGACAGCACGCTATGCTCCTTAAAGAAAATGTATAGCAACATAAATGCCTGTAATAACTTAAACAAATATGTTTTCTTTATTATGGTTAAGTTACTGCTCCAGAAAAGAACAACATTTTCACCCCGTTCATGTGTGTGTGTGACCAGCAATCATAATTCAATCAAGATCCATGATTGGAGCAGATTGAGATATCATTGGGACATGGTGGCCCTTGTCCTACCAAAACAGCAGCTTCAAAACGTTTTACATTTAATTCCTTCTAAAAAGAAAACCTGTCCCTGGGTTGAACTCCTGCCTGCTGGAAGCTACTATAGTCTGAAGCACAAGCTGTATACTGGTTCCACGCCCGTTGCTTGGCTTGCTATGAAGCTGCAATAATGCAGCACACATCTGCAAGTCGGACAATGGCAGCCGCCATCAGATCGAGATTCAGCCTGATGTTACCTGTAAGATGACCCCTTTCTCCAGCAGGCTCTGCTTCTTAGCCGTCATGACAAAGTAGTGCGTGTCATCCTTATAATAGACAATGTTCTCCAGATCAATACCTGCAAACAAAACGTAGAATTATGTAAGGAAGAAGCCAGGATTGGGGGAGAGAATACATGAATAGTGACTATCTTGAATTAGCAATTGTTGCTCGCTTATTATTAAACCCAATCAGTGTGAGTACCTGATTTTGTCTCAGCCTCTTGCAGTCCCTGTACAGCATAGCTCAAATTGTGGAAGGGAGAAGCAGCACAAGGAGACAATCAGGTGTGTTGCAGTGCTCAGATGCTAACAAGGAACATGGTGCTAGGAAGAGAGAGCAGAGTGAGAGAGAGGAGCTCATTAGCCTGCTGCTTCTCCTTTCACTGTCCAGTCACAAGCTGGGGGGAGGGACAAGACCTGTAAGTGTTACAGAGCTGCAGCAGAGAAAAATCAGGTCTCCTGCACTGTCAGAAAGGGTGGGCTGTGTGACAAAGCTGTGTAAACCCCAGAACAGAATTGACAGAAATGCAAATCCTTTGGCAGGCAAAAGAGCTCCCACATATATAAATATTCTGTGTAAGAAGTGGTTTGCCTGGTGTTCGGCATTACAGAAAAACTGCACTTAAAAAACCTGAGCTTCAAATTATTCTGAAAAATTGAGATATCTATATTCTCTAGAGATAGTTATATCTATATATAGATATATCATATCTATATATAGATTTCGTTCTATCTCACTTTTTCCTTTCTACTGCCGCCCCCCCCCCCCCCCCCCCGAATTCCTTCTAGTGGAGAGACCATCTATCATTCATCCGAGAGGTGGACAGCTTCTCCATAGGGATGAATAGAGATTCTTCAGCTCCTATAGGGCCCAGCCAGGAGACTTCTGCAGCAGCAACTGTATGGCTCCCAGTGAAGACCTTGCTGGAGTGGGGAAAGCAGGTTAAAGCTTGGATTGTTTACATTTAAAAAAAGATAAAAAAAACTCTACTAAAAAGTACCCTTAAAATGGTGCCCTCTGCCTGTAGCAGAATTGTTACAAGGCTCACACTGAATAAGAGCACCACCATAACATCAAAATGTGCAAACACTTTTAGGCAAGTCCTTCAACAGGGCCCTATGGGTTCCCAGAGGCCACAGCAGTCATGTGGGTTGCCATGGCTAGTGTCCACCCATTGTACTACAGCAGTGAATATTATCCCATACAGAAATAATAAGGAGCTGCGTGAAGTGACATAAACACACGCAGTCTGTGGACACTGACCCGTGGCCTCCCGCAAATCCTGAAAGAACTTCTGATTGAAGATGAAGGCCACTCCGCTAATTTCCTCCACCTTCGCCTCCGCTGTTGTGTTTCGGTTAATAAAATTAGCCGTTATGGCGATAGCCAGCTTCCCACGAAACTCCTTCCTGCGGAAACCTGGAGAGGCGACAAAGAAGCAAAAAAATCTCAGGGAGGCCCTTCAGGTGAAAACAAAATCCAAAATAAAATCAAGAACCCAACTCACCTGCCAAAGTGTTCCTCCTGCCATCTGCACCAATGATGACATCAAAATCAAACTCCGACACTGGGTGACCTTTAGGAAAGACTGTGGCCCGCCAGCCCGTACCTAGCAAAAAAAAAACATTGGATTTTACACATACAAACATGCAGGGAACATTTATTATCTTACACAGTATATACACACACAGAACATAATCTACAACATAATAATAAGCATTTGAGGGACATGCATGTTATAGATCATGTTCATTATAAAAGGACTTTCCCAGAGGGATTTCTTTTTTTCTGACTCACGTTCATTTTCTTGATCTTCCGGTGGTTCGACCAAGCCCTGGAACTCAACATTGACGTGAATCTCAATTCCCAGGATGAGCGACACTTTCAGGAGTATAAGCTGCAGCTGGCGAATACCTGGAACAACAAAATGGGAGAGACAGACACCATCATTCACTGTGGCAAGCTCATCCACTGTACAACAAGCGACTCAAGTGTGACTTGAGCCAAGACCCTTCCCAGATAGATAAGGATAGGATTAGAACTTCTGTTTGGATTGTTTTTGCTGTAGCAGTTGGCTGCGCTACCACTTTAGCTAACCCATGGTGCTCTGGGAATACCATGTCCTGTAGTAAAGTGGAACTCTGAGCAATTTAAAAAAAAAATGAAATGATGCGGTCTGTCAAGAGTATCAACACATCAGTTTTTTTTTAGTTTCCCCTGTAACAGTTATTACCAGCTGATCCTGCCAGTAGATCTGGTTTTCTGCTTCCTGTAACAGGAAAACAACGCCGTTCATTCTGCAGTGAAATTGCACATCAGCGTTGTCACCCTGTGGACAGGAGAGTCTTAGATGGACATGTAGTTAAACCTTAAAAATGCATTCAATTACCCTATTAACAAAAATGGATCTTATTTTTGCATCACTCGGCTGTAGATCCTCAAATCATCTCTGAATTGGTGCTGACACTGTCCTTCCTTCTGGAGGGTGGCTACTATTGTTCCCCATGATCCCTGTGTGTGTTGTAAAGTAGTCACCGCTACAAGCTCACTCCTGTGATGGGGCTACAATTTCAATACAAATAATTAGTAAAGTAAATATGAAATTGTAGTCCATCACAGGAGGGAGTTTGGAGTGGTGACTACTTTACAACACAGACAGGGACCATGGGGAACAATAGTAGCCCCCCTCCAGAAGGAAGGACAGTGTCGGCACCAATTCAGAGACGATTTGAGGATCTACAGCCAAGTGATACACAAATAAGATACATTTCTTATTTTTGTTAATAGTTAAGGTACTTGAACGCATTTTTAAGATTCAACGCCTGAGTTTAGTGTACCTTTTAAGCAGTTTTAAGAACAGGTTTTCTTCTCCTGGAAACGTAGTTCTCTTACAGACCAAGCTGTCCGACAAAAGCGACAGCTACAGGCAGAGCCGTAGTTTGTTTCCTTTTGCACCCGAGGCAAGAACAGAAAATTGTGCCCCCAACAGACGTGTGCAGTATGTAACGTCATATGACCTGCCTCCAAGATGGAGTCTGTGCACATGTCTAGTAATATGTGTGCGTGT